AAGAAAGCCCTCAATGAGATTAATTGACACCTTGGCTGCAGCAACAAGCCCCAGTGTGTCAGGGATGATGAGGATGGCACAGGATAGAACAGAGTTCAGACCTGTTGTTCATTATGAGTTCTGAAAGACACTGAATCAAAGACATCAGAGTTATCTAATGCATTAGATATCCTGTCATTCACTAAACTGACATAATTTTATTATTCCTCCATTAGAAATCAGCCTTGAACTTTATGGGGGGCAAAGATTGGAAGTAGGGCCTCTGCTGGGTTTCTAACACCAAATAGAGATCCTTTATATAGAAGTCAAGTGCCAGATTGTATGTTTAAAACATCAGATTTCGAATTGAGCATCCTACAAGACTGAAGAGACATAGTCACACCAAACTCAGCTGATGCTTGTGTGAGTGCTTTTTAATATCACCTGAGCAATATTGTTGTCATATGTCCTCAAGTTGGAACAGACTCATAGCTGACTTTCCACTGGGTTTTCAGAGGCCATAAATTGCATGGGAGGAGATTCCCCATCTTTGTTCCACAGATCAACTGATGAATTCAAACTACACACCTTTGAGTTGGCAGGACAACTCCTTATTCCTTATGCCACCAAAGTTTGAATAATATAAAGGGAAACAAGAACAAAGGCTATCTGGAACCTTGAAAAACTTGTAAGTGGTCACCAGTGATAAAGCAATTGCCCTCTATCTGCCTCAAACAACAGAGAAGGTAGGAGATCTAAGAGCTAAAGAAGGAAATAGTCTGCAGCTCTAATGGCCTCCATAAACTACCACCCCCACTATCATGAGACTAGGACCATTATTGAACATTATGGTCAAGGATCCAACAGATGGAAGAAGAAGAGAATCATGCAACAGAATTTCACTCATGTGGAAACCAGACTTATTGGATATGCTGATGCCAAGCAAATCCCTGAAACTAATACCTTTAAATAATCTTTAAATCTTACAGTAAAATCATCAAGAACTAATCATTAAACTCAAATTTAGCCCTTCCTATCCATAAAAAAATTTTGCCTTAAGCATAGAAATCTTGTTTTTGTGGGGGTTTTTTATATTGTAGTAGTAGTAGTAGTAGCAGTAGTAGTAGTAGTAGTAGTAGTAGTAGTAGTAGTAGTAGTAGTATATGTGTATACCATCAAATTGGATCTGACCGGTGCAGGAGGAGTTTGTCTCTCTTTCTCCAGCAAAGCAGCTGGTGGCTTCGAACCACGCACCTCTGGGATGGCAGTGCAGCTTCTTGCCACTAGGCCACCAGAGCTCACCTAGCATAGAACTCTTAAAAGCAATTATTTGTAGGCACCTAATCTGACAACAATTAATCTAAAACACAGACGAGAACTTTAAGTGGCAGAGGTCAATGACAAAGAAAGAATATGGGTAAAAGTAGTGACAACGGTGATAGTGTGGCATATGTAATCAGTGTCACTGAGCTCTTCATGGAGAAATTGTGATAGCCACAGACGTTATACATATTGTGTATATTTGGTTGTGTATATTGCCATAAAAAATTTAAATGCATATTTATTTTAAAGAAGAATGATTTTTTTTTTTCTATTCTATGCCTCTGGCTCAGAAAACTACAGAATCTTGATCAGGGAGTCTTCAGGAAGATAGAAACTAAAGATAAATGTTCTTAGATCTCAATGGACAATATACATGCTAAACATTTGGTGCTTGACTAACCATCAAAAAGAATGATGGGGATTCTCGGAACCAAGATGGTTCCGGTAAGAGACGTGGCATGAAAACCAGGAGGTTCAGCAAGCCACGTTGAAGCAGGCCACGCAACTTATATACACCTAAATATCCAAACAGTTGACTGCTGGTCATCAATATGGACTGAGGCTCAACATCAAGAGGATAAAGATTCTCGAAAGAACATGGGTTTGATCCCTTTCCTAAAGGTAACCTTAACACTGAGTTTTGCTCCAGACCTGAACCTTGAACCCAGTTTCAGAGACAAGAGGGGAATATAACTGCCAGCTAAGCAAGTGAAGGAGGATGGAGCTTCATGGTTCAGCCAGCCATCCCCACTGGACTCACCTTGGCAAACACTCTGCAGTCCAGAGGGCAGAAAATATCAGGAAAATATCTTTTCACTAAACAAGAAAGCACAAAGTGTCAACCCAGGACCACCAGTATGGTGTTAAAGTCAGCTCCCCTTCCTCTTCACATCCACACTCCTATTCAGCATGAAGAAGCCAAAGAGTCTTTGCCCTATTCCCAAATGAGAAACCCATAAGTGAATAAGACAATTTCTTTGTTAAAAAAAATAATCACCATTGGACTATGCTCACCATTACCCTGTCTCCTCTGGTCCCCACTGGATCTTTCTCATTTCCTTCACCCACTCCTCCCACCCACCTAATTGTTCAGCCCTGTGATTTCATCCCTGCCCATCCTCGCTCTTCTGCTCCCAACATTCAGCCTCCTGTATACCCATGCATGTTTTTCACAATTAAAAAAAAGAAGAAGAAGAAGAATGATGGAGAGGCTTTTGCCTGCCCTGCAGGGGCAAATAGAGGCAGCAATAGCCTACAGATCTGAGAGAATGAGAAATGACCACTTTTTAAAATAGATCAGTATACTAGTTTGCAAAGATGCTAATTTATTAATATCGTAATGGCCTCTAATGGCATCACAAAAGGACCAGGGAACAGTCCTGCCTTCAGGACATGTTGAAGAGGCAGCTTTTGAAAGCACAGGCGTGTGGGTACATTATACTAAGTTATTCACATACCAATTAGTAGGCTGTCCCCAGGCAACACCGAGTAGAGTCACCAAGATGACACAACTGCAGTGGCATTGTTGTTTCCAGAGATCTGGATCAAAAAATAAATAGCCAAAAATACTCAGGTTCACTTTGGGGTTCTTTGGCAGAGCTGTTCACATGTTAAAAGAATCTTCTCTGTAAGAAGAGTCAAGGCTAAACAATGCTGCGCTGGAATCCTTCAGGTGAAGACTTGAAGTAGGTGTTCAGTGGCTCAGCTTATAGAATTGTGGTGGAAGCAGTTGAGTCACAGCTAGGCTCCAAATAGAACTTCAGTGACTCCTTCAATGATGGCCCAGTAAGGGCAGTCTAGTGACAATGTATGTCCTCCCAGGTCTGGAAACCTCACTCCCACAGTTACTTAGTACTTACACTTGTGGGCAGCAAAGTTGATGAAATTAATCATCTTACTGGTTACAGAAATGACCTTGGCTAGAACAGATGCTAAAACTCACTAGAGACGAGGTTTCCGGCATATTTATCATCCTTGTTCTCTAGTCCAGACAAAGAGTTTCCCAAGCTAGATATGCAACCACTTTCTGCAGCACTTGTTTGGAATGCAGACTCCTAGATTCTAGTTCTAAACACGCTGATCTAGTAGAGTGAGGTCGTATCCAAGAATCGATCTTTAGTGAGGACTTTAGAGGATTTCTGCACAGGAGAACCATGAATTGATGCTTCGGAACAATCACTCTAGCACATTCTTCTCCATGGATCACTCAGAACTGGATGTAACTCAGATGAAGAGTCTGAGTCAGCACTTGTATGTTGGTCTCACCCCCTGGCATGTGTCTCTGAGCTCTGCTTCCCATTCAGTCCCATGACTGTCCTCTTGTAAACACATACACATGTCACAACAATTCATCTTAGCAAACATTTATTGATCCCTTACTCCAGGTAAGCATGATGGTAAGCGCCTCAGGTACATATGAAAGCTGGGTCTCAACTCCTAAGGAGCTTACAGTCTACTGGGAAAAAAGGCACACAATCAGGTAACAAAAATGCCAGGCAGATGAGTTGAGTATTGTAACAGAGGTTAAAACCAAGAAGGAACAGAGAACAGGGAAAGATCAAATACATTCAGGCAGAGCACATGTGAAATGTAGGGAGTGGCATTTCAGTAAGTTCCTGGAAGAAGGGAAGGATTCACACAGGTGGAACTGGGGAGGAGAGGAACACTCCTGGTATGCTGAAGGTATAGAGGTGAGAAAGGTAAATGTGTGGTCAGAAAAGAAATATGGCTGCTGAAGCAGACATAAATAATGTGTATATATTTTACATATGTATGTAAAAGGGTTAACGATATTAAAGGAGTAATAGAAGGAGATACAGCTAAAGGTGTAGTTAGAGGCAGAATACTAGAGGACTTCTCCATAGTAAGGAGAAATGACTTTATTCTGTAGGCAGTAGTGAGTCATTGGAGGTTTCTAAACAAGGAAGTTGCACGACCTCATTTCAATTCAAGGCACACTGCTCTATAAAAATTTTTATTAACTCCATTTTTTTTTCCAACCTTACTTGGTGGCTCACAACCTCTCTTGTCCTCACTGCAGAAGCCAAGCTGGCACAACCTATAGTTGTGCATTCTTTTTAAGGTGTAGTCTTAGTTGGGGTAAATTAGGAGCTCATCTACTAAATTGGCACTACATACACAGAACAGGAAGTAACGAGACCTTCTAGAACCATCTGCAAGCAAAGGGAAGGCACAAAGGAAGGTATTCAGCAAAGTGCTGTTGCTTAAGGATGGTGTGGATAATCTGGGGAGAAACAGGGTAAAAGAAAATGTGGCGAGAAGCCAGTGACAGACGATCCTTGCTATTACTGTTCTGCGGAGTTCTCCAGAACACTCTTTTGGCTAATACCACACCAGCCTCGCTCTACCTCAGCCAGCAATGTGCAATTTGGGTGCCTCACATTTTCCACAGTTCTTTGCATTCCACAAATGTCTGCAAAGACTCAGTAAGTACCATTTTACTGGCAAAAATAAATCTTACAAAGTAGGTGAATTCACAAGTCCTCAACTAATGAAGATCCATTACACTTGACATGTCCAAGCTAACCCAGCTCTCTGTAGGACTTCTGGTATATCTAACACATCCTGCCCTACCCTCAGCTCTTGGGGAGTAGGGAGACCCTGCCATCGGACTTTCTGGAATGCAGTAGATAGGGATTCTAAGTCTCTACAGATAAAATGTTCTCTGCTGGCATCTTTCCTAAGGACCCTGCTTAACTGTCCAAGGAGGAAGGAGAATGGCGCCCACCCCCACCCAGCCCACCCCAGCCTGAGAAAGGATGGGAGGCCACTGTCGTCCAGGTGGACACGGCAATGCTGGTCAGTGAGGGCTCCCCTAGAACCTCCATGCCAGCCGAAGTGGATGCTTGAGTGGAGAGCACAGAGTGGGGTGAAGGCATGGCTGGGTTACCCAGGAGAAAAGTGCCGGTGGAGCCAGAGTGCACTTCCGGTCCCGGCCCAGCAGGGCCCGCGCTGCTGTTGCTGATGGTCCACAGGCATGGGTAGGGGCTGCGGAGACAGAGAGGGAAAGAGGGCGAGAGCCATGCACATTGATGGAAGGGCACAGGTCAAGAGGAGGATGTCTGATCACAACATTAGCATTAAATTCACTCCTTAACCAATCGTTAAGTGAGACCCTCCCTTGGTTTTCTGAGACTATAAATCTGTAGATGGTCCATGTTTCCAGTGGAACAGCTGATGGATTGCAGCCACAGGGCCAATTTGTTAGCACAACAACATATTAGCTCTCAGTCACCAGAGTTCCTTAGCTTTTCACATTTGCTGACACAAATTGGCACTGTTTTTGCACAACATTCAAGGGAAAGAGCAAGGTACTGTATATTTTGCATAAGGCAAGTTGACCTGAGATGATGATTCTAGTGCCAGTCCTGCTGGGTTTTAAACACACCCTTTTTTCCTCTCACAGGCCTCCCTTGCCACATATGTATATGTCAGATGGACAAGGAGGACTAGGGAGGTATTTGGACTGTGCAATCTGTGAGGGCCTCTCACGGCCCAGCAGATAATAGCCAGTATGTATTGTGTCAGAAAATCTGGGTTTGACTCTACCACCTATGAGTCATTGCTCGAACTATTTCCTACCTCTCAGCCTCATAATGTCAAGGTTTGGAGTGATAATTAAACAGACCTCACAGGAGTTGTTAGGAAGATTAAATGAGAAAGGCATATGCAGGGCCTGGCACATGGCAGATACTCAGTAACAGCTGTAGGTATAATTAATTCTTCCATTCTATAAAGTAGAAACACATTGTTCCAGGTTTCCCTAGTAGGATGGTGTAGGAGTTGCACCACTTTGTTTGACTTCTCTTGTTCTATAGCACTGGTTCTCAAATTTGGCTGTACCTCAGAATCACTTAATAAATTTTAAAGAATGCCCCAAAATCCCACAGCAGTCAAGTCAATTAAAAGGTGTGGCTACCCTATAGGACAGAGTAGAAGTGCCTATAGGGATTCCAAAGCTGTAACTCTATAGGAGACCAACACATCTTTCTGTAGAGTAGCAGCTGACAGATTCAAACCACCAAACCTTTAGTTAGCAGCCAAGAGCTTTTACTGATGGCCAGAGATTTTTATTTTGTCCATGTAGTATGCATCTGGTTATCAGGATTCTTGAAAGCTTCTAGCTGGTTGCAGTATGCAGTTTACACCGTATTCTAGAACGCTGATGGAAATGACTACAGTTGAAACAGGTAGAACAATCCCCAGGTCTACAAATCTTTGGATGTTGCTACATTCTGACTTTTGAGGGATCCTGCGTTGCTTGATGATGGCACTGACCACATTTGCTTTTCTCTAACCTTTGTATGCCATCAGGAATCTGTTATGTACACAAATGAGGAAACCAGGGGTAGCAACACCATCTCTGCTTTATGCCATAGACCAGATGCTGTAGATGCCCCTGCACTGTATGAAGTCTGCAGAAAACCATCCACTTAGCCTTTCCCTGAGCAGACAGGTCAGCTTGCTGGCATGCTGACCTCGATCTCTAGAAGAGACTCTTCCAGCAGCATCTTCTAGAAGATCACTTCAAGAGCACTAATGCCTCATTGACCAAAGGAAAAACCACAGGATTTGCTCACACTACTTACCATAGCCTTCAGAAAGCTTTTCATGCCTCTGAGTTTATGTTGCCTACATCAGTTAAATAAAAATTTTATCTTATTGATGTCTTTGAGTATTATATACAACTTATGTAAAGTATCTGATACCACACCTGGCACATAATTATTTAATACCTTCAGAAACTGTCCATCTTCATTCTCATATCATTTTCCATCACATCCTAATCATTGCTTTTCCTCTTACATCCTCTAAACTAACACAGCCTGACAGAAATAAAATGTGAGTCAGGCAAGGAGGAAATAGAGCAATCAGAATGGAGATAAGCAGGACTCTGGCACATTGTAAAAATTATAACTGATACCTTCAAACAATCTGCATAAAAATTGTTAAAAGGGGAACCTACTCTGCTCTGTACGTTTTCACCAAGAACACCATAAAATATTATTCTTTTTTAAATATGAGACCCACATATGCATTAAAAGAAAAAAGAGCACAAAAGTAAATTCATTTAATCATATTTTGTATAAGCAAAAATATTAAGTGTAAAAATATATACATGACATTTATATCTTTTCTTATTAACTCTTCAAACGTCTGTGTGCATTTTACACTTACAGCTCTTCACAATTTGGATGCACAGCATTTCAAGTGCTCAGTGGTCATATGTGGTTAGTGGTTGCTGCACTGGACAGCGTGGCTCTGGAAATGGCGGGTCACAGCAACATCAGAAACCCCTAGGCACTTGTCAGACATGCATAACGACCGCCATTGTCCTTTTCCCATGCCACTAATCAGATTTTAACATCATCTCCCACATGATTCCACTATCTATTAAAGTTCCAAAAGCCAAAGTTGAAGCTCTGGGTCAAAACCCATCATATTCTCCTGTCTCTTTTCTAGTAAATCATCTTTCTTCTACTCAAGTCCTATCTCTTCAATTTTACTCTTTTGAAACATCGGGAAAGGAACAGTCATGACGTATCTATCTGCTGTCACCACAATTAGCAGTGGTTCTGACTAGTTTAGGACAAGTCATCTCAAGTTGCAGTGTCTTTTCCCTCTTACAAAGCTACTAAAAAAAGAGGATGTAGCTAAGCAGGTGCTTGCCCATCACTTTTTCTAGGAATGAAGCATCTGTCCTTATATAGTCATCATTACTTCCCCAAAAGTTTCTGTCAAGTTGATTCCAACTCATTGCAACCCCTTGCATCTTGGAAATCAAAACAACAGCTCAGACCAATTCAGCTTACAGACCCAGAAAAAATAGTGAACTAATGACCCCAGGGCTAACGTGGACCCCTCCCAAGAGGAGCAAGGTTGTGGTGTTTGTCTTACCTCGGTCCTGGATTGATGGGCCCATTGGTGTGTGGTACAGACAGGATGCTGGCATGCGGTGTAGAGGATAAAGAGGTCCAGCTCTCAGGTCCTGAGAAAACTTGCAGATTATCACTTGAGCTTTCTATCAAGTTCACTTTAGGGAAATAACAACAGTTCAATTTATGAAGTGTGTTGCACACATAAAGATGGTAATCAACAGCCTTAGCCTAAGGGCAAAATGTAACCATGGTTTGTGCTACAGGCACCAACAGTTTGAAGGAAGCAGGAAGGAGGGAAGAGTTTAAGTTTGTTGAAGGCCGCATAAACCAGGTGCTTTTCTTATTTTAATTGTCACACAGCTTCTCTCCATTTTGGAGATGAAGCTCAGAGAGGGGAGATTATTTTCCTTTGTGATAGAACTATAACCCATTCCACCACATTGGGGTTCCTGGGGGATGCACATGGTTAAGTTCTCAACTATTAGCTGAATGGTTGATTGACTGAACTCACCCAGAGGCAACATGATAGACAAGCCTGGGAATTTGCTTCCAAAAGGTCACATAGAACACCAAAAACCCCAGGGAGCAGATCTACTCTGCACTTGTAGGACCTCCATGGGCTGGACTTCCATGTCTCTCAAGCAGCTACCAAACTCCCTTTTAAAAATAGCCCTATATCTCAATATTGGTTTATTAACTGAACAGATGCACTGCACTAATGCAAGATGTTAATAATAAAAAAATGTTTGCGTGTGTGGTGGTAGTGGAGATTATTGGAACCCCCAGTACTCTCCACTGAATTTTTCCTGTAAGCCTAAACCTGCTCTAAAAATAAAGTTTATATTAGAAATAAAAACTAAAAGAAAGAATGGATTGCATCAGCATGCGCTCAGGCCCTACCTCCAGGCCACTAGTGGCTCAGAGATTTCTGAGATCCATGTCCCTGTTCTTCTTTTCAAATGTCTCCAAGGAGATTTCAAAATCTACCCACTAAGACTGTGTCTCATAAGTATTAGAGGTTTTGATTGCATAGATCATGTATATGCAATAGGCAGAAGGAAGCGAGAAGGGAGGCAAGTGAAGGAGACACTATAACGTATATACCTGGTCATGTCACACCTTTGGTGACTCGCAGACTTTTCATGATCTAACACTTGCAGCCTCTTCAACCTTAGCTCCCACCTCACCTCTTCTTCCTCTACATTCTGTTTTGAATCTGTCCCCAGGCAGCCTGGGTTCTTTCATCTTCTGTGGCTTTGCTTCCTCTTACCAGCTAAGGTCCTTCATCTGCTCTGCGGCATTCCCACTCACTCTCACCCCCAGCCATCCTTTTCTGTTCATCCTTCTGGGCTCAGTTTTCACCTTAACCTCTCCAGGTAGCCTTTGCTTCCCCAACCTGCAGATCTAGCTGCTCTTTTTCCTTCAGTCCCCATGATACCTTGATCTGTGTACTTTATACTCTTTCTCAAACTTCAATTTGCATACAAATCACCTGGGGATCTTGTTATACTTCAGATGTAGAGTCAATGGGTCTGAAGTGGAGCCCAGAGTCTATGCTGCTAACAAGCTCCCAGGTGATGCTGCAGGTCTGAGGATCATTTCATAGCACTCATGTCACCGTATTCTGATGATTTTATGTCTCTTTCTAGCCCTGAACATTGTTCCTCACTATCTAGAAGTACTTTATGCGCTGACCACAGGGAAAGACCAGGAAGTAGAATAAGACTGATTGGGTATTGTTATCATTAAGCTGTATAATCTCTCCTACAAGCACTTGTCAACATTACAGGGAGCAGTAGGTTAAGAGACGCAAGAAGTAGTTAGTGACCCAGCAGAACAGTGCTGCAAATAAACAGATCAGGACATGATGGAAGCTAGGAGGCTGGAATCTCAATACCTTTCACTATGCAACAATTATGGTTGTTGTGTGCATAGGAGTCAGAACAGACCCATAGCTGACATTCCATCAGGTTTTCAGAGGCAGTAAATTTCATGAGAGGAGACTGTCCATCCTTCTCCTGCAGAGCAGCTGGGGGTTCAAACCACATGCCATGGGAAGTGCAGTACAGCTTCTTACCATTAGGCATATAGTTTGCTTATTTATTCTATTTCATGGTCATCTTCTCATGTTACGTTATAATCTCCAGGAACAAACCAAAAACCAAACTACAGTCATCAAGTCAATTTGAATTCATAGCAACTGTACAAGAAACAGTAGAAAAATTTCCTCCCTTGGAGAAGTTAATAGGATCAAACTGCCAACCTTTGGGCTAGCAGTGAGTGCTTGACACCAAGCCACCACTGCATTTTTTTTCATATGTTTTTCTAATATTTTTTAAATGTCCTGGCACACAGTTGGCTTTCAATTAATATTTGTTACATAAACAATTGGGTGAAAATCTAATCATTTTATATTTTCATTTCTCCCTTCCTTCATACAAATCTAATAATCAGGCTGTGTGGCAGGAAGTGGCACTACACCCAAAGTACTTTGGGGGAAATACTGTTATTTAGCGATACCGCCAGGGACCCCTTAAGCTCAAGTGGGAGGGATGTGAGGCAGAAGGAGCCGCTTGAGTGAGGCAGAGATGGCAGTTCTGGAAGGGAAAAACAGGCTTCCTGGTTTCCCATTCAGGTACTTTAGGGGAATCATTGTTGTTGGGCTCTTTGCCCAAGAAGGGAACACAAATATACAGGTCCTTCACAAAACATTGCCATACTCTGGATCACTATCTAGTGACACTGACCTAACATCAAATAAGAAAAGACTCACATAATGTCAAGAAAGCAGCAGTCTGCTTCAGTTTATCATGAAAAAAAATAAATAAAATAACCCTTCTCCTAAAAAAGCAGACCCAATGAATACCTCAAAACCAGAAGAAATATGTTGCTGTGGAGTTATTTGAACAGCTACAGAAGATGCAAGTGATGGAAGAAACAATTAAGAACACAAATACTCCAAAGACAACAGTCCAGAAGAAATATATTGGTATGAAGAGTAACTTGAACACCTATGGGAGAAAATGCAAAAGATGGAAGAAAAAATTAATAATAAAGAAGTACAAGAACTTAAAAAATCATCACAAGACATGGTACAGCCAACACTGTACTAAAAATAACAGAAAAGCATAAAAATGCAATCTAGAACATTAAGACCAAAATGGCAGAAGTGTCCAACACACTGGTAGGACAAAAAAAAATACAACTGAAGAGATGAAACCAAGAGTCAGTGAGCTGGAAGACAAGAGTCTTACTGAAAGCATACTAGAAGTAAAATCAGAGATGAGATGTAAAGAAAACGAATCATGTGGGATGACATCAAAAGGAATAACATATGTGGGACTGGAATTCCAGAACAGGGGAGTGACAGGAAAATCACGTACTAGAAGAAAACTTCCCAGGTATTTTGAAGAATGGGGAAATCTATATTCAAGAAGCACAATGAACATCAAATAGACTAGACCCAAAAAAGAAAAACATCAAGACATATTATAGTCATATGCTCCAAATTAAAAGATAAGAATAGAATTGTAAACACCTTCATAAAATGGAAAAAGAATCTTATCCTACAGCCTCTAGAAGAAAAGAAATTCTAGGGACAAGAGCTGAAATCAATGAGCTAGAAAACAGAAAAATAATTGAAACCATCAATAAAGGCAGGATCTGGTTTTTCAAAAGTATCAATAAAACTGACAAGCCACTGGCAAACTTAACAAAAAGGGGGAAAATAGAAGAAATAGATAATTCGACTAAGAAATGATAGAGGTGGCATCATAAGTGAACCAGATGAAATTAAATTAGTAATATCAAATATTATGAAAAGCTATACTCAGATAAATTAGAAAACCTAGAGGAAATGGACAAATTTCTTGAAACTCATGTCCTACCTAGATTGACAAAGATAGATATAGAACACTTGAGCAGACCCATCACAAAAGAAGACATTTAAAAGGTCATAAAAAGATTTCCCATAAGAAAAGTCCTGGAGCAGATGGCTTCACAGCTGAATTTTACCAACATTCAGAGAGGATCTATCACCAATTCTACTTACACTATTTCAAAAAATTGAAAAAGAAAGAAAAATCCCAGAGTCAGCCTATGAAGTAAGCATAACCCTAATATCAAAACTAGGCAAAGATATTACCAAGAAATAAAACTATAGGCCAGTATCTCTCATGAATATAGATGCAAAAATCCTTAACAACATTCAGCCAATACAATCTAAAAGTACGTCAAAAAAATAATTCACCAGGACCAAGTGGAATTCATAACCGGTATGCTAGGATGGTTCAACATAAGAAAAATAATTCATGTAATTCACCATATTAACAAAGTAAGTGACAAGAATCATATGATCTTAGCAATTGATGCAGAAAAAGCATTTGACAAAATCCAACACCGCTTCCTAATAAAGACACTCAGCAAAATTTGAATAGAAGGGAATTTCCTCAACATAGTGAAAAGTATATATATATATAAGAAACATCGTCAATGGAGAAAGAAAGAAAGAAGGCATTTTGCTTGTGAAGAGGGATCAGACAAGGATGTCCACTGTCACCACTTCAATTCAATATTGTAGGGCAAGATGTCAAGAGAAGGAAATAAAAGGCATCCAGATGGGCAAAGAGAAGGTTAAACTATCGCTATATGCAGATGATATGACAGTATACAAAGAAAACCCCAGAGAGTAAAAAATAAAACAAAACTGTTCGAGTTAGTAGGCCAATTTAGTAGAGTGGTAGAATATAAAATCAATATTCAAAACTCAGTGGGATTCCTCTACAGTAACAAAGATAACTCAGAGAAGGAAATCAAGAGAGCAATACCATTTACAATAGCCAACCACAAATTGAGATACTTGGGAGTGAACCTAAGTAGGGATACAAAAGACCTACACAAAGAAAACTACAAAACATTTCTGCAATAACCAGTAATCTAAAACAAAATAAACCAAAACAACCTAAAGAAATGGATAAATGTGCCCAGTTCATGGATATTAATATGGTAAATGGTAAAATATGGTAAAAATTACAATCCTATCAAAAGCAATCTATATGTTCAATGCAATCCCAATCCAGATACCAAATTCGTTTTTCAAGGAGATTGAAAGGGAAATTGTCAAGTTTATTTGGAAAGGCAAGACATCCCATATTAGCAAAACACTTCTGAGAAAAAAAATGAAGGGAGAGGCATAGTACTCCCTTATCTCAAAACCTACTACACAGTGGTAGTGTCCAAAACAACATGGTACTGTACAATGACAGGCACATAGACCAATGGAACATAATTGAGATCCCAGAAATAGACCCAGCTATCTATGGTCAACTGACAAGGAAATCAAAGCTATCAAATGGATAAATTATAACCTCTTCAACAAATGGTGCTGGCAAAACTGGACTTGCACTTGCAGAAAGCTAAAACAGGATTCACATCTCACACCATACACAAAAATCCACTCAAGGTGGATCAGAGACCTGAGAGTGAAGCCTAAAACAATGAAGTTCATAACAGACAAAGAGGGAAAAAGCTTAGAAGGCCTCGTCTATGGTATAAAGAGACTGCCAAATACATTCAGAAATGCACAATCTGAAGAGGATAAAATTGATGAGTGGGACCTTCTAAAGATTAAAACTTATTAAAAAGCATTTTCCAACAGGGTAAAAAGAAAACCCACTGACTGGGAACAAAAATTTGGCAATACCAACTCAAGATAAGAGTCTCAAAATGAAAGTTTACCAAATACTCCTGGACCTCCAAAAGAAAAACACTGATAAACCCAAATACAAAATGAGAAAGAATTTTCAGAGGAAGATATTAGAATGGCCAAAAGACTTATGAAGAAATGCTCAGAATCAGTGGTAATAAGCAAAACTACAATGAGACACCATCTCACTCCAGTAGCAGTGACAAAATTTAACAGGACAGCAAGTAATAAATGTTGAAGATGATGTGGTGAGATAGGAACTCTTATACGTTATTGGTAGGATTGTACAATGAATGCCACAACCACTCTGGAAGGAAGTTTTGTGCTTTCGCAAAAAGCAAAACATAGAAATTCCATATGACCCAGCTACTCCATTGTTTGTAATATACCCCAAGCAAATGAGAACTGAGTCACAGAGACTTTTACACCAATGTTCAAAGCAGCATTATTTACTATCATAAGAACATGGAAACAGCCCGGATGTCCAGCCACAATCGAAAGGATTGTGAAATTATGTTATATTCACACAATGGAATACTATGCAGCACACAGAAGCAATGGTTTTGTAAATCACTACCTAATTTGAGAGGGATTGGAGATCATTACACTAAGTGAACTAACTTAGTCCCATAAGAAAAATACTGTATAAAACCATTATTGTAGAATTAATATTAGGATCCAAGGGGGGTGGAAGCACAGGGATAAGGATGCCTGAGATGGGGTTATAAATCATAGGATTGCACAGTTTGATGTTTGAAAGGGTGATGGAAATGGGAAAGAACTTGTGTGAAAAACAATGTAATCGAATTTTGTAAAAAAATCAATATAATTTTTTTTAATATGGTAAAGAAAAAATCTAATAATTGGGCAAAATCTTGAGTATACATTAAGATCAAGAGATATAAGACACCATCAATTAAAAGAAAATGTGCAATCTTAAAAAATAAGCAGACTATAGAAGTTATTAGGGATGAGCTTGCATGCCTCTGACTGACTCAGTCTAGGACTAAACACAGAGGGATCCAGTTCTCCAGAGACCTGTCTAACAGTGGTGCCCAGAAATCCCTGGGCAGGCATGCAATGGTGCTGGAGAACAGAGCCATGGAGAAGGCAATGAGCTGAGCATTTCCAACCCGAGGGCGCACCATATTTGACTGTTACGAGATGCAACTGAAACTACTCAATGCATCAGGTACCTGGGATGAGCCCTTGCACACTCAACAGAAGCTGTGTGTTTTCGTGAAATAATTACAAAAAGTGAATAGTGATGATGTCCCTATACAATCAAATACAAACATAATAATAACAATCCAATATTGCTGATGTTAAAATAACATATAAAATGTTAAAGTAAAACAAAATACTGATGTTAAAGTAACGTACAGAAGAATCCTGTATAATCAGGACATGCATAACTGATAGAATGGAGGGACAGAAAACTAAAGAAAGGTTCACACACAGAAACAATTGAGGAGGGTTGACAGGAAAAGGGAGCAGAGATTAGAAAATACATAGCGTGAAGGGGATGGGAGGGCACAGCAAGGATTCAACAAGACATTGTACAATGGCACTGTACAATTGTAATTGATACTATAAAACAAAATGTGTGTGAGCGGGATGAAAACCAATTAAAAAAATTCTATCCATACAGGTCTGAATAGGTGTTGTAAATAGTTCTGTTAATCAGTTATCAATTTTAATTAAAGCCATAAAACAAAATGTCTAAGATTGAATGAAAATGCAATATGGTTCATAAATGTCATTCAAACATAATAACATTTTAAAATTAATAAAATGACAATAATTACCCTATTCAACACTAACAATCTACTGCTATCAAGTTGGATCCAGCTCATAGAGAGAGACTTTTAGGACACAATAGAGCTATTCTTGGAAAACTGTGTTTTCCAAGAGTCTGTAAATCTTTTTGGAAGAATACTGTTACATCCTTCTTCCACTGACCTCCTGGTGGATTTGAACTGCCAACACTGAAGTCATCAATCAATCTAACCATTATGCTATAGAGATTCCTATTCAATAATATTATATTGGTGTGTTAATTGCACTAGTTAGAAGACGTTCCACCTTCAGATCCTTCTTTTGCTGGCTGTTTATGCATTTCTCACCCCCACTGCTCAAGTCCCAAGGGCTTTTTAGTTAGCAGAAGCACACACCTGTGGGAGAATGGTTTCTATGCACATAGGCCGAAGGGTAAGGAGCCTGCCTGTGTCCCCGGAGGCCAGGGTAATGCTCACAGCCGTGGTGGGAGTGCTGAGCTGGCAGAGGCAAGGACGTCGCATACTGGTAATTGGCGTTTGCTGCCGTGCACACTCCATCCGGATTGGAAAAGATCCAGCCCCCCACTAGGACAGACGAGAGAAAGTAGAGAATTCCTGTGAACTGGCAGGCAGTAATCAGGATCCCGAATATTTTGCATGGCTGTGTTGCTATGCATGTTGGACTGAGTGGTAGACAATCACTCCTACAGCAGACACGCTGGCTTCTTAACACATGCATGACAGGTCTTGTTCGACTTTGGAAACCTCTCCAAGAACACTGGAAACCTTAGCAACATAAAATACAGTGGGAAAGCAAAGGGTTTTAGAAATGCAAGTTAAGTTGCTTCTGACTTTTTAAATTTAACTTAAATAAAATCATCTAAGAAAGAAGCATGAGATACAGTTAACACCATTTTCATGGACTAAACCAAAGCCATTGCCATCAAGTCAATTTTGACTCACAGCAACCCTACTGGACAGAGAAAAACCATTCCTACAGGTTTCCTAAGCTGTAACCGTAACAGGAACAGACTGCCTCATCTTTCTTCCATGGCTCACCCCCAGTATTTAAGTTAGCAGCTGAATTCCTTCATGGCTGTGCCTCCAGGCTCCTCTACAATGGCTCCCGCTGCCATCAACTCTATTCTGACTCACAGCAACCTTCTATTGGGTTTCCGAGGCGGTAAATCTTTATAAATTTTATGTGATTTTCTTTTAAATCCATTTGCATACAAAATTCATTTGCATAGTGTTTCATTCATGTCCATGTGCTTCACATATTCATTCACATTGTGTTTCGTACAATCATTAATATACAGTATGTTTTACAAAATCAATCACCATGGATCCCTGTCTACCATGACCTCATCTTTTCAGGTCCCCATTCGATCGTTCCCATTCTTTTACCTACTCCCCCATCCACCCAATGAACTCTGCTGTCCTACTATCCTACTGGTTTCCCCCACTCCCCACACTCTCTCCCTGCTGCCACACTACCCCCTTTAGACTTTCATACACATCTTACTAATTATCCTTCTATTTCTACAACAATGATCTTATGCAGTATTTGTCCTTAGGAAACTGAGTTAGTTTGCTCAGTACAATGCTCTCTAGATTCCCTCCTGTCACAAAGCATTTTATGATATCGTTGCTCTTGAGTTCTGAGTAGTGTACCATCATGTGAATGCACTAAAATGTCTCTACCCATTCGTTTGTTGATGGGCATTTGGGCTGTTTCCAATTTCTTGCTCTTGTGAATAAAGCTGCTATGAACAAAGGTGTATAAATCTCCAATTGTGTCTCAGTTCTACTTTCCTTGGGATATATTCCTAGCAGTGGAATAGTTAGGCCGTATATTTTTGGGAAAAGACTGCCCATCTTTCTCTTTCAGAGCCACTGGTGGATTCAAATTGCCAATCTTTCTGTTAGCAACCCAATCTGTTACACTCAATGCCACCAAAGCATCTTTAAACACCCTGTGTCACAGAAAATGTGACAGTCTCCCTGCTTCTGCTTATTGTAGAGTGTGTAGTTAGCTCTCATTCCACAGAAAAGGAGACATGATGCTCCCACCATCACCCCACAAAGCAGACTCTGATAACACTGAGAGTTGTAACTAGACTGTGTAAGCAAGCATTTTGCAGATCTTTATGGAAGGCTGCAAAATATCCATAGACTCTAGTCATTAAAAATTCTGAACAGAAGGCTCTACATGAAGTAAGTTCCGGGACAAAGGCAGGCTGATCAATGCGAGAAGGAGATGTTCCTACCAACCAGATCTCAGCTGAGAGGTCTACAGATGGCAGTTCCCACAGAACCAGGGCTCTTCCTGCAGAATGTGCCTTAAGAAATATCACCAGTGCTTTAATGAAGGGGAAACGGAGTTTGGCATTAGAACTCACTACCTTTCTATATCACTTTCTAATGCATAAGTAAAGCAATTGTACATAGTTCCCATTACCAACTGTGAATTCATTCTCAACATCTTCCATCATCCTCATTTCTCTAGTGTTATGTGATCCAAGCAGTCCCTGCCAGGCTAATAGAATCAATATTTTAGCATACCGTGGGTGAAGCCTGGCAAATGACTCTCCCCAGCACCTCCGGGAGTGTGCTGGCAAAGACTACAACACAGGAATTTGGTGTGTGGTCTCTAATGGACATGAAAAGCCTTTTTCTTCATGCTGTTTTTTTTAAAAAAAATGCCTTTCTGAGTTCCGCTTCTCCTTCTGTGACTGGGATGCTCCAACTGGGCTGGAATATGCAATAAGGTTTAAAGGAAGGAGGAAGTAAAGCCTTGAATAATTAGCAAACTGTAGATGGGAGCTTAGCAAGCCTCTGCAACCTAAATGAAAACATGTCTCAGGTGCTAGAGTTCACCTTTCTGCTCCGGTGCCACAAGGTGTGGATTCCTGTTGCACCTTTAGTGGACTCCACCACAAGACTTCCTCCATTATGTGGAAGTGTAAAAAGGGGAACCAAACAGGATCCAGTGCTCCATATAGAATCCCACATGTGTCTCCCCAGTACTCCTTAGAGCTTTCCAGTCAACAGCTGTGGACTCTTCCTGACATGGAAGGTCACAGCCTGCCTGAGGCATCATAATGGTGACCAAATTTAAAAAGGGCAAATATTAAGAACATGAGACCTTCAGGCCAGGAGGCAAAAGTGGAAGGGGTAGGTACAAGAGACATGCCCAAATGCACTTTGGGAACACCCAGCATCATTGACAGGTTAAAGCATCCAGGCCAAAAATCTACTGGGGGAAAAAACAAATGAAACCTACTGCCATGGAGTTGATTCCAACTCCTAGTGACCCTATAGAACAGGGTAGAACTGGCCCCTCAGGTTTCCAAAGCAAATCTTTACTGAAGAGAATTGTGCATCTCCTTTTCCTTCGTGGAGATCGAACCATCAATCTTTTGGTTATCGGAGCTTCTTGAGATGTTGTTGTTGTGGTTGTTGTTGTTGTTGATCACCATGGAGTTAGTTGAGTGCAACTCATAGCGACCCTATGAAAAAAAGACCTAATGTCTTTCCATAGCTATCATCATTTCTCCAAGTTCATAGTTTCCAGAGGCATGTGGTTTAGGAGGTGGATGGCCACTCCTGCTTCCAAAACTGTTTTACAACTGGGAGCTCCACCAAACACTGTCCACATTGGGAAGTCCTTCTGGTATTTGATACCCTAATGGCACAAGGTTCAGCAAACCCAGGTTACTTCATACTGCACATTGACAAAGAGTTATATAAAAAGTGGAAGAGTAAAATTAATAATTTCCCATTTTATCTCTTGGCTTTGTTCCACCCAGGAGCACTAGTTCTTCCTGGGAATTCTGGAAAGGCTCAAATCTCCTGTTGGGTCATAATGAAAGATTTGGAATGGACATTAAGCCATTAAGACAGTAAAGCAAGCTGAGTGTGAAGTGAGAGCACCCTTGAAATTTTTACCCAACTCACCATGAGAATAGGTCATGTGCTTGCTCTCAGAGAGAGGCTCTGCAACATCTTTTAGGTGATTTCTGGGGGGAAAAAAACAACAAAAACACAAAAACAATAAAAGTGTATCAGGGCTGTCCTGTCAAGTAGAAAAGTCCAGAATCAACCACACTTAAAAGTCTGTCTTGGAGGAAGTACAACCAGGGTGCCCCTTAGAGGTAAAGAGGGTAAAATGTTCATCTCACACACTCTGGGCATCTTTTTAAAAAAAAAATTAATTTAAATTTATTATCAATTTCAGTAAAAATTTACAAAGACTTTGGATTTCCATTCATTAATTGTTGTACTTTTCTCCCCTCCCAACCCTCCCCCCTAATACACTACCCTCTTGGAAAAGTAAAAGAAAATCCCTTTCATTGTTTTACAAACCCTCCCCCCAGGTCCACTCCACCATGTAGCCTTCGCTCTGGACTCCTGTCATGACAAAAATACTTAATCACATATCCCTTTTAAACAGTTTTCTCCCTCATCTGTTTCAATGCAGTATACATTATTGAATCCATCTTTCTCAGTCCTCCCCAACCCCAAGGTCAGTCCTGTTTTACAACAGTGGCACCATGCAGTATTTGTCCTTTTGTGATTGAGATACTTCACTCAGCATAATGTTCTCCAGAGTCACTCATTTTGAATAATATTGTGTGAGTTCCTTGTTTTTCAATGCAGCGTAGTATTCCATTGTGTGAATATACCACAGCTTCTCTACCCATTCGTTTGTTGATGGGCACTTAGGTCATTTCCAACTCCTTGCTATTGTGAACAAAGCCATGATAAACATGGGTGTGAATATATCTACTTGGATCTCAGTTATAGTCTCTTTGGGGTATATTCCCAGCAGTGGAATTGCTGGGTCAAATGCTATCTCTATTTGCAACTTTTTGAGAAAGCGACATACCACCTTCCACAGTGATTGCACCATTTTACACTCCCACCAACAGTGAATAAGGGTTCCAGTTTCTCCACAACCTCGCCAGCATTTGTTGCTTGCTGTTCTGTTAAATTTTGCTATTCTGACTGGGGTGAGATGATATCTTATAGTTGTTTTGATTTGCATCTCCCTTAGAGCTAGGGATTTTGAACATTTCTTCATGTGCTTGTTGGCCATCTGAATGTCTTCTTTGGTGAAGTGTCTGTTCATATCCTGTGCCCATTTTTCTATTGGATTATTTACCTTTATCTTGCTGTGGTGACACTTTGGGCATCTTATCAGGAGTGGTCAATTCTTGGAAAAAAGACATCATGCTGGGAAAGGGTTAGCAAAAAAGAGGAAGACCCTCAACAAGATGGATTAATCCCATGACTGTAACAGGGGGTTCAGGTGTGTCTGAGATCGTGAGGGTGATGCAGGTTAGGCAACGTTCACATGTGTCACTTTGAATCATACTCTATTGAATGGCACCTAATAGCAAAAACAAAATCTCTCTGGAGAGTAATAAATTTGAGGAAATAAGAAAAACTAATACTTCTTTTCATGAAGCTACTCTCCCCTCATTCTGTTCCCCTGGTACCTACCTGTACAATTGTACTTTGTGCCCAACTGTGTTTTCAGCTGGTACTGCTGTTGTTCCCCAATTCATGGTAACCCCAGGTACAACTAGATCAGACTGTCATTATTCGCAGGAGTTTCACTGACCAATAAAAATAGCAGGGCTTTTTTCCTAGTCCATCTTAGTCTGGAAACAGCTAAAACCTGTTCACCATCAAAACAACATGCAATTGTTTGTTCCCAATTGGTAGGTTTTCTTTTTACCGTGTTGGGAAAAGTTTTTTTATACACACATGGATTTAATCTTTAGAAGGTCCCACTCATCAATTTTATCTTCTTCAGATGGTTGCATTTCTGGCTGTATTTGGCAGTCTCTTTATACCTTGAACTAAGCTCTTCTAAGCTTGATCTCAAATTGTCTCTTAAGAACTTTATGGTGCAGGGGGAAGGAAAGCGTAATCATGGAGTTGTACAATTTGATGGGTGGGGTGGTGAGGGAAATTGGAAGAATCTGTTCTGGAAGACAATGTATTTGAATTTTGTAAATAAACTAGTATAATAATTAAAAAAAGCAAGCCTTCACCAGCAGGCTGTAGTGACTACACATACCATATGTTGATTAGGAATTGAAGCTAAGTTTCCTGTATGGAAGGTGAGGATCACCACCATTGTCCCCACATGTTAAGTTGTTCTTCTTTAACATGCTTTGAGTTATTTATGATCATTGCTTCTATCTGACATGATTCAAGCAATAATTACATTAGCTAACAGTTATATGGACATAAGGGGTATACTTGACCCACCAACAAATTGGTGAGGGAAATATTTTACAGATTGAAAAAACAAGCTGACTTGTGGGGGGGAAAATCAAATAGAAACTTGCAGTAGATCTTAAAGTCAGGACTTCTTCTTAAAGTCATATATATACTCTAGAGGCTTATTAGTAAGGAGTTGCCCTGCCAACCCAAAAGCATGTAGTTCAAATCCACCAGCTACTCAGCAGGAGGGAGATGGGCAGTCTCTTCCTGTGCAATCTACTGCCTCTGAAAATCCACTGGAGAGTCAACTATGAGGCCATTCTGAGTCAAAGCATGTAACAATCTACGACATTCACTCTAAATCTAGATTCTATCATCTCACATAACAACTTCTTCAAGTCTCCTGTTATCTGGGAAGATTATGAGTATGCCTTCCATATCATCAAAATTTGTTAAATATTGGACAGCACAGAGACCTGTGGCCTATCACTATAATCATCTGTCCTTCAATCCAGGAGCTTAGCAGAGCCTTTAAGACGAAATAGAAAGACTAAATAGTGATAAGGATTTTCAAATAAAAGTACTACAAAGTCCTCAGATGTCTATTTCGTAATTTCTAGAAGAAAAGTCAATGATGAACATCATTATTCTTTTTTGTTTTCCCAGAACAGAAATATAAAAATGGAGAGTCACTGGAGTAAATTCACGGCACTGAGTCCATCATTTACACTCACAACAGGCTCTGATGTCCCTTTCTCTCTGATTCGAGAGTGACAAGAAATTCTCACCATTACTCACCTCTTACAGACCACAGGAGCTTTTTTAAAACAATCTTATTAACAATCAGAGCCGGCTGACCTTGTGTTAGCTCTGCCTCAGTGGGTCAGAGCAGGATTGTGTTCAATTACTGGATTTTCAATTACTGAGTTTTCAGAAGTAGATCGCTAAGCATGTCTTCTAAGATGCTTCTAGGTGGACTCAAGCCTCTAGACCTTTTGTTTAGTAAGCCAAGAGTATCAGTTAGTAATTGAACCACTGGCCATTTGTACCAAATAGGAATTATAAAAAAGAAAGAAAGAAAAGATGTTGTTATGTTTTCGGAGACTATAAATAGCATGGGAAGAGATTGCCAATCATTCTTCCAAGGAACAGCTGGTGGATTAAAACCACCTGTCTTTGGGTTGGAAGTACAACTCCTGACCCGCTAGGTAACCAGAGCTTTCTGGAAAAGATACTCCTCATTCATAGTTAAGGGAAAAGCAAACCCACTACCGTCTTAGAAATTCCAACCTGAGGGAGCTCTGGTGGCCTAGTGGCAGAAAGCTGCACTGCAATCCCAGAGGTGCATGGTTCAAATTCACCAGATGCTCTGTTGGAGAAGGAGGGACAATCTCCTCCAGTACCAGTCAGATCCAATTTGAAGGTGTACACACACCCACACAAATGATTTTAAAAAAATTTAAAAAAAAAGAAATTCCAACCTGGCAATTCACCCCACCACCCCAGGCTTCTGAGGCTGTAAATCTTTATGGAAGGAGTTTGTTCTTTTTTCTCCCACAGAGCACCTGGTGGATTCAAATCGCCAACTTTTCCGTTAATGGCACCACACCTCTGAGTCTCCCTAATTAAGGGAAGGGCAGAGTGAATTATCCAGAATAAAAAATTTCAATTTTTACAAGGAAATTAGAAAACGGTTGTGTTACTTTCAAGAGTTCATAGTAAAAAAACAGGGCTAAGAAGGCATTTACGTGATAGGTTTTCCTAGACTGCTAAGGAGCAGATAAGCATGTTTGCATGTGGATATAAATGGGAAAGTAGTGTCATTACAGCTGTCCTTCCTCCTAAGGACGTGGTCCTATCAGAGGAAATGCAAGTGGTGTTGAATACCCTCTTTCAAGATCATCACAGAGTTCAAATTTGAACAAGTCAGTTATGAGATTTTACTGAAATTTTTCTACTCACCTTTCTTTGGCATCCAAGAAAGCTTTGGCAAAAGGGTTGTACTTGATTTTGAGAGCTGTTATCTTGGGTTTACAAAGACAAGAAGTGTTAGTGAAAGCAGCAGGTACATGCGCAGAAAGAGCTTAGAGTCCATCTCTCAACTTCTGCAAAAGTCAGGATCATTCCCGCTCTTTAAAACTCCCCTCTAAAGGGATAGGGGAATTGTATACTAATGAAGGAATATTTTTTTTTCCTTTTTCTTTTTGGAGAGGGGTGCGAACTGGTGGGGAAGGGTGGGCAGGGAGAAAAGTGCTGCAAGGAATGAATGAAAATCCAAAACCTCTGTAAATGTCTATTAAAATTAATTTTTAAAAAAACAAAAAAAAACACCTCCCCTCTGCATGCTTTTTCCCAGACTCCTGCCTAGATCACTCTTGCATTATCCTCAGTAGGTGGAAATGACAGCAAAGTGTGAAGTACATAAAGAAAGGGCAAAACTTCAGAAATGAGCGAAGCCTGACAGGCTAAGCCCAGAATGTTTTCTTTATCCATTTGCCTTTCAACAATCACTGAATGCCCACCACACGTCAATCATTTTTCTAGCTACTGGAAGCTCCAGTGGGAGCAGCACCTGTACCATCACACTGACTTAAGGAGAAGAGCGCCATCAGTGCCCTAATGTAAGTCCAAGGCTAATTTTTTTCTTATTGGTTTGCTTACAAAATCCATACACATTGTGCTTCACATTATTCCTTATTCATATTGTGTTTCATTCAATCATTCTCATTCATTATATTTTATAAAATTAATCCTCATTGGGTGTTGCCCATCATTACCCTGTCTTTTCTCCCAGATCCTTCTCATTTCCTTCATCCCCTCCCTCCACCCACCAAACTGAGCAACCCTGTGGTTTCCCCACTACCCGTCCTCACCCCTCTGCTCCGACCCTCTCCCTCCTTGGGTTCTCCTACATATTTTATTAGTTACCCTTCTATTGTTTAAAAAGTGCTCTTTTTCAGGGTTTATTCTTTTAAAGTGACTTTGTTCACTCAACATAATGCTCTCCAGTCTCTCCCAGGTTATGTAGTATTTTTCTAAATCACTGCTCCTGAGTGCTGCATAGTATTTCACTGTGTGAATGTACTACAATTTCTCAACATTCAGTTGTGTAAGGACATTTGGACTGTTTCCATGTTCTTGCAGTGGTGAATAATGCTGCTATGAACATTGGTCTATAAATCTCCATGTCTCAGATTTCATTTCCTTGGGATAATTCTTAAACAACGTCTTACCCACTTGACTATTTCAATGTAAATAAGCAAATCACCACTTCCACGTGGGATCCATTTTTATCTTCCTTGTTGATGTCTTAGCCGCCATCAAGTTGGTCCCCAACTCATGGGGACTCTGTGAACAATGAGACAAAATCCTTCCTGCCCAATCCTGATCCATTCCCGTGACCAGTTGCTGGTAAAATTGTCATGATCCACAGGGTCTTCACCGGCTGATCCCGGAAATTAGATTCCAAGCTTTTCTTCCTGATCTAGTTTCTTGGTGTGGAAACTTCACTGGTAAAAGCATCACAATGTACAAACGACTCCTGATAGAGATGAGTGATGGCTGCCACATCAGGCGCCCGGGCTGGGAATTAAATGCCAGTCTCTCGGGCAGAAGGTGAGAATTCTACCAGTAAAGCCTGCTGCCCTCTTTATCCCCATTATTCTGCATTGTATTTCCTCCGCAGCACCACTATTTGATATCTAAATAGGCAAAGAAATGCAATAGGGATAAAACAGAAATAGAGAAGATGTTGGATGCTATCAAATTGATTCTGACCCATCGTGACCTATTAGACAGAGTAGAACTGCCCCATTGTTTCCAAGGCTATAAATCTTTACAGCAGCAAGACTGTCTTATCTTTCTCCCAAAGTAAGTTCAAGTCACCAGTCTCTCAGTTAGCAGTCAAGCACTTAACTATAGTGCCACCAGGACTCCTTAAAGATATGTTGTTGTCATTGTTGTTATATGATGTCTGGGTGGACTGAATCATAGCTGATCTTCCAGTGGGTTTGCAGAGGTTGTAAACTGCATGAGAGGAGATTGCCATATTTCTCCTTGCCTTAGAGATGTGTCGTTGTTTTATACCATTGAGTTACAACCGACCCATAGTTGACGCTGCAGAGGGTTTTCAGACACAGTAAATTGCATGGGAGGAGATTACCCATCTGTCTCTCTCATGGAGCATCTGGTGGATTTGAACTGCATACAGGTGCATTGGCAGCAAAATTCTTTATCATTAAGTCACCAGAACTCCCTTTAGAGGTATGTTGCTGTTGTTGTTGTTGTTGTTGTTGTGTACCATCGAGTAAGAACCATCCCATAGCTGACCCTCCAGCAGGTTTTCAGAAGCAATTAATTGCATAGGAGGAGACTGCCCACCTTCTCTCACAGAGCAGCTAGTGGATCCAAACCTTGTACCTTCAAGATTGCAACACAGTTTCTTACCACTAGGCCACCAGAGCAGAGACAGGTATATTTGTCATCTCTCTTCCTTGCTAGCATGTAAGTATCTTGAGAACAGGATAAACATCTGTTTTTTTCCACTGCAGTATCTACTGTAGCTAAAATAATAGCCAAAATGTACTTGCATTCTACCATTTTCATTATCCTCAATACATATGAATCCATTGCTGCATTTTCATTATCCTCAATACATATGAATCCATCTCGTTGAGAGTCTTCCTCTCCTTCATTGTCCCTCTACCTTAGCAAGCATGATATTCCTTTCTAAGAAACAGTTTCTCCTAACAACATGCCCTATATATGTGAGATGAAGCTTTACTATCTTTGCGGCCAAGAAACATTCTGGTTGCATTTCCTCCAAGAAATACTTGTTTCTCCGTTTGGCAGTCCATGGGATATTCAGCATTCTATTCCAACAACTCAAATGCATCTATCCTTCTCCTTGCCCAGCTTTCAGATGTATAGCAAATGATTGGAAAGACTGTGGCCTGGATCAGGCACACCTTAGTTTTTAAACTGACATCATTGCTCTACAGTTCCTTGGAGTGATCCGTCACAGCAGTCTTTGTCAATACTATATGTCTCCCAATCTCCTCACTGCTGGGACCAAGGATGTTGTCTGTGGATCCAAGCAAGATGAAATCATTTACAATTGCAATCTTTTCTCCATTTATTATTGTGTCGCCTATTTGACCAGTGGTGAAGTTTTTTATTTGAGATGTAATTCATATTGAAGGCTGCATTTCTTGATCTTCTGCAGCAAGCATTTCAGGTCTGACTCAATTTAATCAATCAAGGATGTTGATAAGCCTTTCCCCAACCCTAATGCCATGCTCTTCTTCATAAAGTCCAGCTTCTCAAATTATTTGCTCAGCATACAGACTAAATAGGTACAGAGAGAGGATACAGGCCTGCCTCACATCTTTCCCAATTCTAAACCATGCAGTGTTCCCTTGCTCTTTTTGGACAAGGTCTAGGTAAAGATTTCTTATAAGCATAATCAGGTACTCTGGAATTCCAATTCATCTCAAAGTTAGCTATAGTTTGTTATGATTCACACAGTCAAATGCCTTTGCACAATCAATAAAACCCAAACAGACAGTCTTCTGATATTCTCTGCATTTAGCCAATATCCATCTGACAGCAGCAATAAGATCCTTGGTGCCACAGCCTCTTCTAAACCCAGTTTGAACGTCTGACAGTTCTCTACATACTGCTTTAGTTGGTTTTGGATGATCTTCAATAATATCTTGCTTGCATGCGAAATTAATGATATTGTTCAAAAATTTCCCTATTCTGTAGGATCACCTTTCTTGGGAATGGGAATAAATACAGGTATCTTCCAGTTAGTTGGCCTGGTAGCTTTCTTCCAACTTTCTTGGCACAGACTGGTGAACATGTCCAGGGCTGCCTCTATTATTTGGAATAGACAAGTGAAAATGTCTCTCTCGTTGCCATTAAGTCGTAATGACTCATAGTTGACCCTCAAGCTATTTTTCTAAGATTTTTTAATTGCCTGAGAGGAGATTGTTCCTCTTTCCCCCATGAAGCAGTTGGTGGATTTGAACTTCCTGCGTTAGTGGTAAGGAATTGCACTGTCAGTGCAAATGCACATAGTTCAAATCCACCAACTGCTCCATGGGAGAAAGATGGACAATCTTCTCTTGTGCAATTTACTGCTTCTGAAAACCCACTGGAGGGTGAGCTTCATGTCAGCTTCTGACTACACAATACACAACAGCAACAATTCTAACACTTCTCAAAGCGATGATGCATCTTGGGATTTTCTGCATCCACTTAATAGGGAAGCAGAGGAAGACTGTGGGGCAGATCTTCCTGACTTTAATCCCCACAGAGCACTTGCTAGAAGGTCACCGTGGCCTGAGGATGGGGAATCGCAGCTTCATAAAGAGCTGTCTAGCAAAGGCCTCCAAGAAAGGCTACTGAGTGTTTACCAAGCCCACAAGCAGTGGCAAGTTCCAAGGGCCACAGTCTAGCAGAGCAAGCAGCACACAGATGGGAAAGGGGCATGGCCCTGAAGGCCAGAAGAGGCTAGAATGTGGTTCCCAACTCCTCCTCAACCCCCAGGGCTTGCAAGAGTCACCTTCTCCTTCATAGACCCAGACTTCATATGGAAAGATGCAAGTGGAGGGAGTAGCTAGACGGGAAACTGAGTATAATTCTCCTAGAAAGCTGTTTTAATGATCAGATATTTCATTAATTCCTATCTCTACTGGCCTGCTCTCTAGGGGCTCTGACAAAGGCCAGATAACTTCTAGATAGCCTTTTCCCTGTACATTTGGTACGTGAATGAAGTCTGCAGCTCAGTTCCTCCTGTAGGTGCTAAGGCAGCAGTTCTGAAGCCTGAATGGTCATCAGAAGCCTCTGGAAAGCCTTAAAAAAAAAGAGCAGACAGATGTTGACATCAGCTGTGGAGAAGGTGAGTCAGAGAACTAGCACTCAGAAGCTTGTTTTTAAAACTTCCCACTAAAGGAATGCTAATTAAAGTTACCTGTTAAAGATACTATAGTTTAAATATATCTGATGGTCAAGATTAAAAAGACTGTTGATAATCCCTGTTGGTAATGGTGTGGAGGTTTTTGATGGATATAGTCTTTAGAAGGAGGCAATTGGCCAAAGTCAAAACTTACACTCCCTTGGACAGAATAATTGAACCTCTACATATTCACTCAAACAAGCAAGGTACAGTAGACTGTCAGGATAGTCATGGAAGCAGCACTGTTTCTAACAGAACAAAAGAACGCACCTGGAAATGACTTACTTGTTCACCTGAAATACGGTCTAGCCATACAGTTGAATACTCTGCAGGCATTAAAGAAAATTAGTTTGAATGTAATTAAAATAAAAGATCCCTAATATACTGTTAAGCTGGAAAGAAAGATATTTACAGATTAGTATAATTCAGTATAAGCCAATTTATGGGAGAAGGGCAATGTTCACACCTATATCTGCACACAGGTAAAATAAATGAGTGGGAAAACACACTTGTAGGATTCCCAGGGATGGAGGTCAGTGAGTAAGAAGGAAACGGTACATTTTATTACCTTTTCTTTTTTCTTTTGATCTTATTTTACAGTGATTTCTTCACTGCTTGCTGTTTGCTGGTTTGTTTTTAATAAACAGGCATACATCTAAAAATCTTACGTTTAGGGAAGAATACTCTATATCTTCCCAAGTTCTTCTGAGGACCAGCAGCAGGTGTGGAAACACCACTGGTGTGAGAATGGACCCAACCGTCCTGCTTTCTCTCACATCACACAGAGACCAGACTCAGGGCTGCTCACCCATCCAGCCAGAGTCACTCAAGTTACTGGTCAGAGAAAGACCTAACTCAGCTTAGATATTAAAAATACATAAGCAGGATGGATCACATTGTAAAAATCTAAAGAAAGTGCACAAGTAGATCTATTCCCACATATTTGTTTCTAGAACAGCAGAGAATAGTGTCCTTCCATCCCTGCCCTGTTATATCCATCTCAGAATACCCACCAGCTCGATGCAGGCCAAGGTCACCTGAGAAACGAAGACAATGACTCCTGGGTTTCTGTTAGTTTAAAATAACACACAGTTCTAATTTCCTGGGGATCTATTCTTAGTAGTGGAATAGTTGGGTCATATGAAGTTTCTATGTTCAACTTTTTGGAGAAATGTCAAACTGCCTTCCAGAGTGGTTGTACCATTGTACAATCTCACCAACAGTGTATGAGAGCTCCCACCTCTCCACGATTGAGACACAAACAGAGATTTAAACACCAATGTTCATTGCAGCATTATTCACCATCGCAAAAACATGGAAACAGCCCAAAAGTCCAACCACAACCAAATGGATTGAGAAATTGTGACACATTCACACAATGGAATACTATGCAGCACTCAAGAACAACGACTTAGAAAAATACTACATAACTTGGGAGATACTGGAGAGTATTTGGCTGGGTGAACTACTCAGTGTCATAAAGACATACTACGTAAAACTACCTTTGTAAAAAATAGAAGATTAACTAATAAAACATGTATGGAAACCCAAAAGGGGAAGGTATGGCAGCAGAGATGTGATGATGGGTGGGAGCAAAACCACAGTGCACAGTTTGGTGGGCGGAAGGAGGAGGGAAGGAAATGGGTATGATCTGGGTAATGATGGGCAAAGTCCACTGGTGATTAATTTTCTAAAACATAATGCATGAGAATGATTGTATGAAACACAATATGAATGAAGAAAAGTGTGAAGCACAATGTATATTAACTTTGTAAGCAAACCAATTTTTTTTACAGGGAGGAAAAAACCCCACTCACAGCCATTGCCTTATTGGCACCAGGAAAGGAAGGGAGGCCAGACCTTTGACAAACCTGTGATAAGGAGGAAATGGAGGGCAGCTACCCTATTGTATAATTTCACTTTACTGATTGTATCTAAATCCTGGAACACATATCTTTCATGCAAGCTTTGCCATCGCAATAAAATCATACCACTCTTCCCTCCACTGCATTTTCCCAGCTTGTTCTCATAGTCATTCTCAATCTCTCTCTCTCTCTCTCTCTCTCTCTCTCTCTCTCTCTCTCTCACACACACACACACACACACACACACTTACCTCCTCATTCTGATATGCTGTCACAGCTATAAACTGGGTTTCAGGGAAGGAGCAGTTCATCACCATTCGGTGGGCACCTCCAACACGCACGATGTGAACCTGGGGTTCATATTTATGCAGAGAATTCAACATTATCTGTTGAGGTAAGAGAGGAACAGAAAGAAAGGGAAATCAAACTATCACAGGTGACAAAAGTGTCAGCACCCTGTGGCTGGTTGATCCCACATTCAGGGCCCACCGAGACCAGAAACACACACCCCCTTGGTCCTGGATCAGTTAAATATTATCACAGCTCTCTGAGACATAAGTGGAGGAAATGTTTTCAGAAGTTTTAGGGAGTATAACTTTGGGGATGAGGGGCGAGTTTCCAGAGGAGGGTTGTTTCTAAGACTGTGTGTTTTCTGCCAGTATCTTGGCTTCCATTTTTCTCCTTCCCCATTTTAGCAAAACAACTTAGACTTGGAAAAATCCAAATATATTGTTTCTCATCAGAGGAAGACTCCAAGTTGCTAATGTTGTAAGAGTTAATGCAACACTTGGATGCAGCCAAAAAGTTGGTGGTTTGAGCCTACCTAGAGGCACCTCAGAAGAAAGATGGGTGAGTTACTTCTCACAATGTAGGCATTGATATTTCTATGGAGTCCAGTTCTAACTCTGACACACAAGAAGTTACCATGAGTTAGAATCAACTCATTGGCCACCGGAAAAAATCTAACAAAACACTGACAATAGTTGAATTTCACAAAGGGATACCTGAAGAGCAATGGTTATTTTCTGTTAATCAAATTAAAGGCTTATTGAGTCTCTTATAGTGAGATCTGTTGCTTTGTTGTTACGTGCCATCAAGTCACCTGCAACTCATGGTGACCCTATGCACCATAGCTCTGAGCTCTGCCTGACTGAGGCAGTCTCACAATCCACAAAACAACTACCCCTGTTACTCCATTTACTGGATCAATCCATCCACCCTAGGTCTTCCCCTCCACTCTTCCAGTTATGTTGTCCTCATTCAAGGGCTGATCCCTCCTGGCCACATGCCCAAAGTATGTCAGACAAAACCTCAATATCCTTGCCTCCAAGAAGCATCTTGGTGTCCAGGAGGGTTTGTTCTCTTGGCAGTCCATGGTATGTTCAATACTGTTCTCCAGCACCACAACTCAAAGTCATTGATTCTTCTGTCAACTTGATTCATTGTCCAGCTTTCTGATACATAGCAAGTAACTGTGAAGAGCATGGCTTGGATCAGGTACACCTTCATCTCCAGACTGATCTTGTTGCTCTTTAGCACTATGAAGAGGTCCCTGACAGCAGATTGCCCCAGTGCAATTTGTCTTTTGATTTCCCGACTGCTGGTGTCAAGAGTGTTGATTGTGGGACTTAGCAAGCTGAACCTGTTAACAATCTCAATCTCTTCTCCATCTATCATGGTGCTGCCAATTGGCCCAGTGGTGAGAACCTTTGTCTTCTTTATGTTGAGCTTCAATCCATGTTGAAGATTGTAGTCCTTGCCCTTCTACAGCAAATGTTTCTGGTCCTCCTCAGTTTTGGGAAGCAAGGTTGTGTCGTCTGCATAATGCATGTTGTTTATTAGTCTTCCTCCAATTCTGATGTCACTTTCCTCCTCATAAAGGCCAGCCTCCCAAATAATCAGTTCTGCATATAGATTAAAAAGGTATGGATAAAGGAAGCATCCATGATGCATTACTTTCTTGCTTTTAGCCAAGCAGTGTTTCCTTGCTCTGGTCAAACTGCCTCCTGGTCCAAGTATAGGTTTTGCATGAGTACAATCAGGTGTTCTGGGATTCCCATTCTTCTCAAGTTCAGCCACAATTTGTTGTGATCCACACAGTCAAATGCCTTTGCTTAGTCAAAGAAACACAGTTAGACATTCCTCTTGTGCTCTCTCTTTTGGGGCAACATCCATCTGACATTAGCTAAAATGTCCCTAGTGCTGTGGTCTCTCCTAAACTCAGCTTATACTTCTGGTAGTTCTAGCAGACAATAGTAGGTGACTTTGTAATTTCCTGGGTTGAAGGTTGTTTGTTTCTTTGTTTATAATGTGTCCTTTCATTAACTGTAACATAAACATCACTTGCCATGCAGTTTATTCTATCATTAATTTGCAGTGACTTTTAAGGCAATAGAGTTTAGCACTTTGATATTAAAATTTGCTTATGTTTTGCCAAACTCAAGTACTGTTTGAATATTTTTAGGTCTAAAAGTGTTTATTGCTGTGGAGAGACTGGCAAAGTGTAACCATATATATCCCTGACATAAAATTCACAGTTAAAAATTTTGTTCTTCTTGCTGGATGATGGAAGAAAAAGCTGGCAGCTGAACTGAAACTGGACTTGGACTAATTGAGGAATTGTGCCTTGGGACTGTTGGACCAAAACCTGGACTTGCATTGGGTGATATTCTTTGCCTCCCCCACCCTCCAACTTACTTCCCTAACAGACCCCACTCCTGGCACCACAGTCTGTAGGTCAACAATGAATAAGCGAACTTCTTCCGTCTGGTTGCAGCTATAGAGGGAGGCACCATGAAAAAATTAAAAAAAAAAAAGACTAAGACTTTATGTCTTGTCTACACTATATCAATACAGAAGTATCTTTGATCATTTTGCTAAGAAACAAACTTTGAATGTAAAGAAAAAAAAGAAACAAAATCAAAACAAAAAAAAACCCCAAATCCTGGTATTGTTGATAGTTTTAATTGTTTTTCTGTTTTCTATTCCATACATTTCTGCCATTATCTTTATCATTTATTTTCTTCTAGAGGCTGTACTTTTTCTATTTGTTGGAGATGTTGGTTTAAGTAATTGATTTTAATTAGCTTAATTAGTTGAACTGCCCAGATGTCCAACCACAAGAGAATGGACTGGGAAGCTGTGGTACATTCATGCAATGGAATACTACGCAGCACACAGGAGCAATGGTTTTGTAAATTATTCCCTAACCTGGGAGGGACTGGAGAGCATTATGCTGAGTGAACTAACTCGGTCCCACAAAGACAAATACTGTATAAAACCATTACTGTGGAAAGAGTATGAGGATCCACTGGTGGGAGGGTGGAAGCAAAGGGGTGAGGATGGGCAAGGGGGGATGTTAATCATAGTTAATCAGTGGATGAGAGGGTGAAAGAAATGGGAAGTATCTTTTGTGAAAAACATGTATTCAAACTTTATAAATAAATCAGTATAAATTTTAAAAATGCAAAAAAATCTCTGGGCTACAGCAAAGACAGTACTTAGAGGTTAGTTCATAGCAATAAGAAAACACATCAATAAAAGAAGAGATCATTAATTTCCTGTTTTAATAAAAATTAACATTTGAAAACATTCAGAAGCTTCTGAATGTCAAAATGACTAGGTGACTTTACCTCCACATCCTAAAACGTGAAGCTCTTCCTAAGTTCCCCCTAAGTACCCACAAAGACAAAAACTAATTCTGACTCATGGAGATTCTCCATGGGAAAATCCCATGGACTACCAACAAAGAACAAACAAATATGTCCTGGAGAAGGTGCAGGCAGAGTGCTCCTTGGCGGTAAAGAAGATGAGGCTTCCTCTCACTTTGTGCATGTTGCTAGAAGAATTCCTTGGAGGACATTGTGCTTGGGAACGTGGAGGGGCAGTGAAAGAGAGAAAGACCCTCAACCAGATGAGTAATGTAGCAATGAGTAATGATGTAGCAATGGGCACCAGTGTGTCAGAGATTGTGAGGATGGCACAGGCTAAGACATTGTTCAGATTGGGTGTTCATAGGGTCGCCATGGGTTGAACTCAACTCGATGACACCTACCGACAACAAATCTTTATGGACAGAGACTGCTCATCTTTTTCTCATGAGGATTTGAACTGTCAACCTTTCTGTAAGCAGCCTGACAAATTACACACTGTGCCACCGAAACTCTTTTGACTAAGCACAGAGAGCTTATGTAAGGGACACGAATCCAAGGATGTGGCTCAGGGAAGAGCATCAAGACCTTTTCTTGCAGCCATATCTCAGGCCCTCAGAACATCGTTATCATTTCATAAATGAACAAGCAAGCCCATACCACGCTTGGGCATCCACAACTCTACAGAGAAAACACACGAAGGAAAAGCCCCCAATCTTGTTTACTCTAATTGGAGACCTTAAATAAAACCTTCCTTATTTAAGGTTTGCTTGGATTTTTTTTTTTACTTCTGAAAAACCAAAGCTGATTCAATATTCTATTGATAATTATCATAATGCCCAAGTAAAAGTAGTAATTATTTCATTTAGGAGCAGCTTTTTACTAAAGTATTTGTCTATTGCCAATATGCCACTTATAACAAAAATGAGAGGGGAGGGAATAACAAAACCCTAGTACCCACAAACATCTCCCACCCTGGTCTGGGTAAAAAGCACCCTACATAAGACAAAACTATGAAAAGGCCTGTGATAATTAAGTAAACTACCGCGGGCTCTCTTACTCTGTCTCTTAACATCAGGAAGTCCATTAAAAACTGAAAGCACCAATTAAGAGCTGTTTATTCCTGTTTACATTTGGACTCCAGGGAATAATTGGCTTCTGTGGGAGAAGAGGTTGGTGAGGACCTCTCTAATTACCTAAATGTACCCTTGATATGTCTTGATTGGTGTTGTGGGATGGCTAGGGCAGGTGGCCAGGTGACGGATCATACCTGCCCGCCTCCATTGAGCTTGTTGGTCAGCTTCACTTTGCTGAAGGAGATGGGGGCTTTCATCCAGTGGGCCCCAAAGTTGGGAGAGTCTGGGTGGATGTAGACGCAGCTGTGGTTGGAGACCTCCGGCTTGCCTGCGGGCACCCATTCCCCATTGACATACTTCCAACGGTGACCATCCGTTGGGACAAAGTCGAGCAGTAGGGAGTACATGGCATTAGGGTCCAGCCCTGTGACACTAATCTTCAGGACAGGGAACATTCGCCTGAAAGAAAATGCAAAAACTTAACCACTGGAGGGAAATTAGAAAGCTCCTTCTAGACAGGTGTCTCAACTCCAAAGAGGTCTTTCACAGAGTGCTTTGGGACTCAGTCTTAGCGCCTGTCATCGTTGTTTTTAATTAGTTACCATAAAGTCAATCTGGAGTCATGGTAATGGTCAACTCAAGGAGAGCTTATATACAATGTGACCAACAGTGTTTGGCCCTACACCAGTCCTGCGACTGGCTACAGACCATCCATAGGGTTTCATTGCTTGCTTTTCAGAAGTAAATTGTAAATTTTTCTTCCCAGTACACCTTAGTCTGGAAGCTCTGTGGAAATATATTTAACATTATAATAACACACAGGGTAGTGACTGTGTATGAAGTGCACTGGCTGGGAATTAAGCATAGTTCTCCCACATAAAAGGCGTGGTTTCAAGAACTGAACCACAACTGTTCCCCTGGAGAATGCCCAGGGAGAGCAAAACCAACAAAGGCCAAGTCTCAGCCAACCTCAGCAAGAGACTCTTTCTGAATGCATTTTATGGTGGAGGTTTACTTTAAAATATTGGGCTTCCCAATTACAAAATGGGCAAAAGACATGGAAAGAATTCTCACAGAGGAAGATATTCAGATGGCCAACAGACACATGAAGAAATGCTCAAAATCTCTGTCAGGAAGAGAAACGCAAATTAAAACCACAATAAGGTACCATCTCACCACAGTAGCAGTGGCAAAGTTCAATAGGAGAGCAAGTAGTAAATGGTGGAGAATGGAACTCTTATACACTGTTGGTAGGATTGTAAAATGGTACCACCATTCTGGAAGTTTGGCACTTCCTCAAAAAGCTGAACTTCTGTATGACCCAATTATTCCACACTTGTAATAGACCCTGAGAAAATGAGAACTGAGGCACAAACGGAGATCTGTACATCAATGTTCATAGCCGTGTTATTCACCATTCACCACAAACATGAAAACAGCCCAAATGTCCAAACACAATTGAATGGATTGAAACATTATGGTATATTCACACAATGGAATACTACACAGCATGCAGGAGCAATGACTTTGAAAATCACTACCTAACTTGGAAAGGACTAAAAAGCATTATGCTCAGTGAACTAAGTCCCATAAAGACAAATACAGTATAAGACCATTATTGTAGAAATAGAAAGTTAACTAGTAAAAAACAAAACCCAACCTTGTGCTTTCTTTAAAGTTTGAAAACTGCAGATCAAGTTAATTCATGGAGGTGGAAATTGCAGCTGAAGGGTGTCTAATCAGATGCTTAATGTCAATTTCCATCTGATTTTCCCTAGCATCAGTTGGATTCTCCCCCTAGGACAATAAACCAGCCCTTACTAGTCTCATAAGGAACTCTATTTCTGTTTTAATTATTATGGCATGTATAACAAACCATGTTTTCATGTCAAATTAAGTGTATAAAAGTCTTGTCTGTATGAAAGTTAGGTCAGTCCCATTCGTGCAGGATTTCTCATGACATACCAACATGTACTATGGACCTTCAGGAAGACAGTGGGGATGAGCACCTTGCAAACTTATTTGACAGAAACTATGAGGATATTGTGGGAATCTGTGTTCAAAAAAAAGCTCACTTTAAGATGTGTTGATTTGGACTCATTGGTCCATTTTCCATCTTTTACAAAAATTAACTAACTGCCAACAAGTTAACTCTCACAAATAATTGAAGACACTATCACATATGACTTCTCACTACCTTTAGTTTATTTTTCCTTCACCAAACTTTCTAAGTTTGTCTTGTTACTCCTCAAAAGACCTGGTTTCCAGACACCACAAGTTGATTGCCTGGATGCTAATTTGCTAGTACCTGGGTGAAGAAGGGTGAGGATAGGTATGGGTGAAGGCACAGGGTTGCACAATTTGGTGGGTGGGGGGAGAGAGTAAAGCAAATGGGAAGATCTAGCAAGGACCAGAAAAGACAGGGTAATGATGGCCAAGGTCCAGTGGTGTTTAATTTTATAAAACAAAATGCATGGGAATGATTGCATAAAAGACAATGTGAATGAAGAATAGTGTGAAACACAATGTATACGAACTTTGTAAGAAAACCAATACAAAATTTAAATAGATAGATAGAGAGAGAGAGAGATTAGAGAGAGAGAGAGAGAGAGAGAGAGAGAGAGAGAGAGAGAGAGAGAGATCTGAACCCCTAATCTGAGAGGCTAAGATTTTAGAGGCTGAATTTTCACTACTCAAACTGCAGTCTGTGGTCAGCAATATTAGCCTTGGTCTTGTTGTTGTTAGGTGCCATCCAGTTGAGTAAAACTCATAGAAACCCAGTAAGTGACAAATCTGAACTTTGCCCTATCCTGTGCCATTCTCAACATCTCCAATATACTTGAGCCTATTGTCACAGTTCACAATGTCAATACATCTCATTGAGGGTCTTCCTCTCTTTTGTTGACCTTTTCAAACAAGATGTCCTTTTCCAAGAACCAGTTCCTCCTAACCATATGCTCAAAGTATGTGAGATGAAGATTTGCCATCCTTGCTTCCAAAGAGCATTATATAGGAATTAACTGCTGTTGTTAGGTTCTGTTGAGTCAGCTCTGCCGATGCACAGCTGACTCTATAGTGGGTTTTCACAGTAGCAAAGTGCTCATATTTTCCCCAAGGAGTTGTTGGTCAAGAAACTCAATGTCTTTGGGTTTGCAGAGCAATTATTTATCACTAGGTTACCAGATCTCCTCTGGAGTTAGGAAAAGCACAGATTTTCAGGACCAACTTCAAACTTGATCTGAAGGTTAAAATGTCTAGGTTACTCACATGTATGCTAGAGCTTAAGAAGTCATGATCTAGAGTGTCTTACTTTCTCTGAAAGATCATAGAAGGCAGTCATTCTAAGCCCCTGAGGACGATGACAAAATAACAATAGTTAAGAACAATTAAAGTTTTATGCAGTATTTGTTCGTATGAGACTGAGTTCATTCAGGATAATGCTCTCCAGTCTCTTCAAAGTTATGTAGTAGTATTTGTCTAAGTCATTGCTCCCGAGTTCTGTATAGTATTCCACTGTGTGAATGTACAACACTTTCTCAATCCATTTGGTTGTGGTTAGATATTTGGCTATGTGTATGTTCTTGTAATGGTGAATAATGCTGCTATGAACATTGGTGTGTAAATCTCGATTTGTGTTTTACTTTTCATTTCCTTGGGGTAAATTCCTAGGAGTGGAATATTTGGGTTATACAGAGTTTCTATGTTCAACTTCTTGAGGAAATGCCAAACTGCCTTCTAGAGTTAATGTACCATTTTTACAGTCCCAACAACAGTGATTGAGAGAGCCCACCTCTCCACATTACTGTAAAAATAGAAGGGCAACTAGTAAAACATGCATGGGGTTACAAAGGAGAAGGGGGGGGGACAGAGGGGTAAGGATGGGTAGGGGCAAAACCACAGTGTTGCACAATTTGGTGGGTGGAAGGAGGAGCTAAAGGAAACAGGAAAGATCTGGGGGAGACCAGGAAAGAAAAGATAATGGTGGGTATGGTGCAATGGTAATTAATTTTATAAATCATAATGAATGGGGATGATTGTATAAAACACAATGTGAATGAAGAATAGTGTGAAACACAATGTGTACAAACTTTGTAAAACCACCTCATCTCTCACCGCAGACCAGGCAGATGGTGGAACCAACTTCCAGAGCACGAAGGAGGTAAAGCAGGTGAAGGAAGGAGGGAGAGGACCTCCTCACTTTTCCTTCACCCTCACAGCACACGGTGCCCAGCACAGCCTCACCTTAACCCTGGCGCCAGGCAGGGGCTGCGTGCGCACACAGGCAGAGCTGGTCCTCAGGAACTCCCATCACACAGCTGTCTCTGCCCCAGAGCGCAAGTTCTGCACCTACCTCGACGCCAGGTCCCCTCTCCACCACCACACCCCCACTGCCCTCCCCTGGTCTGGCCACTGGGGCCCCGCATCCCCCAAGCGCTCAGGCAATCAGTCCCCATCAGCACTAGAGCCACTTTTCTACAGATGTCCACGCCGGGCAGGTGACAACAGGTCTAGATAGAAGATCATACGAAGCTGTTTTGAAGGTTTGGGGAAGATTGGATGGCGGAGATCTGTCTTGAAGTCTGTGAAGAACTGTCCTGTGGAAAACGGCACCTGCTTCATGGTCGCAAGAACGTTCAGGAAAATACAACACAGTCACTGGGACCCTGGTGATGGCATTCCTGAAAGTGATGAATTGGAAGCAGCCTGATAAGAGGCAAGTAGTAAAGTTTGTCCTAGTCATATATTTTGTAGGCTTTACAAATCATATTTCTGGAGATTATTAAGGAGAAAAGAAAATGCTCATGAAATACAGCTCTTGTTTTTGGTGGTATATTCAATTCAAAGCAAGCTCTGGTGGTGCAGTCCATGGGATGTCATGCTACTAACCTTCTTTAATGCTGTCTATGATGGTTTGAAGCTACCAGAGAGTCCTCAGGAGAAGGATAGGCTCCTGGTGTGATTACCAGCCTCAGAAACCCCATGGAGGGTCATGATGAGTCAGAATTAACTCAAGGACAGTGAGGAAGAGACTCGATTCCAACTCCTAGAGGCCACATGTGACAAGAAACAACTGCCCTGTAGATATAGATGGGCTGTAATTTTTCACAAGTGTGTCACCACATCTTTTCTTCCACAGAGTTGCTGGGTGAATTCAAACTACCAATGTTTTAGTTAGCAGCTACACACTTAACTGCTATGCTATCAGGACTCCTTTGAAATAAGTGAAGCTTTAAAAAAAATTACAAAGCTTAACATACAATATTACCCAGGCTTTAGGAGGAAGTAAGAAAAAGAAGAGAACTATACACACCCAAAATCTCTGTAAATGTTCATTAAAACTATTAAAATTTAATAATAATAATTAAAAAAACACAAAGGGTTAGACCTGGTGGCTCCTTGGAGGCAAGGATTCTGAGGCTCCATCTAACATACTTTGGACATGTTGT